TGTGATGGCAGTTGTACACTGATATTAACGGGAATCTGATAGCACTTGTATACTGATATTAAATAGAATTTGATGGTACTTATATACTGACATTAAAGGGAATGTGATGGCAGTTGTACACTGATATTAAAGGGAACGTAATGGTACTTGTATACTGATATTAAAGGGAATGTGATGGCACTTGTATAATGACATTCAATGGAATGTGATGGCAGTTGTATACTGATATTAAATAGAATTTGATGGCACTTATATACTAACATTAAAGTGAATGTGATGGCAGTTTTATACTGACATTAATGGGAATCTGATGGCACTTGTATACTGACATTAAAGGGAATGTGATGGCAGATGTACACTGACATTAAATAGAATCTGATGGCACTTGTATACTGATATTAAAGGGAATGTGATGGCAGTTGTACACTGATATTAAAGGGAATGTGATGGCACTTGTATGCTGATATTAAAGGGATTGTGATGGCACTTGTATACTGACATTAAAGGGAATGTGATGGCACTTGTATACTGATATTAAAGGGAATGTGATGGCACTTGTACACTGATTTTAAAGGGAATGTGATGGCACTTGTATACTGATATTAAAGGGAATGTGGTGGCACTTGTATACTGACATTAAAGGGAATGTGATGGCACTTGTACACTGATATTAAAGGGAATGTGGTAGCACTTGTATACTGAAATTAAAGTGAATGTGATGGCACTTGTATACTGACAATAAAGGGAATGTGATGGCAGTTATACACTGATATTAAAGGGAATGTGATGGCACTTGTATACTGACAATAAAGGGAATGTGATGGCAGTTATACACTGATATTAAAGGGAATGTGATGGCACTTGTATACTGATATTAAAGGGAATGTGATGGCACTTGTATACTGATATTAAAGGGAATGTGATGGCAGTTGTATACTGACATTAAAGGGAATGTGATGGCAGTTATACACTGATATTAAAGGGAATGTGATGGCACTTGTATACTGACATTAAAGGGAATGTGATGGCACTTTTATGCTGACATTAAAGGGAATGTGATGGCACTTGTATACTGACATTAAAGGGAATGTGATGGCAGTTATACACTGATATTAAAGGGAATGTGATGGCAGTTGTACACTGATATTAAGGGGTGTCTGTTAGCTGTTGTATAAAAATATCACAATCTGATGGCAGTTGTGTGATTCTCAATTCAATCAATGCCCTCAAATTAATAATGAATGACTGGCTTGGATATTAGGAGAAATCATTCAATATATAGCATGACTAACAAATCCCCTGCAGACATAAGATATTACATTTTCCTATAGTCTGTGATGAGAGACTCCATAAAAATTACATTTTTGTCCTATAGTCTGTGATGAGAACCTCCATAAAAAATTACCTTTGTCCTATAGTCTGTAATGATAGATTCCATATATTCTGGGATGAGACATTAGGTCACCATAATGTTATAATTGGGGATTAATGTGTCTGGTTGCCATGACATCTGATGAATCAGCAGCCAAACATAGTCCCACAATTTTTTTCAGCAGCATGGTATCTCTTTTACTGTCTCTTATCTAGTACAATTACTCTAATTTGACCAAAAACTACATAACTGAGTACCCCGTTTTGTTGGTAATAATCAGTACATTGTTGTTAATAATACATAGTTGGTAATAATCAGTACATTGTTGGTAATAATAATCAGTACATTGTTGGTAATAATAATTAGTACATTGCTGGTAATAATAATCAGTACATTGTTGGTAATAATAATTAGTACATTGTTGGTAATAATAATTAGTACATTGTTGGTAATAATAATCAGTACATTGTTGGTAATAATAATTAGTACATTGTTGGTAATAATAATCAGTACATTGTTGGTAATAATAATTAGTACATTGTTGGTAATAATAATTAGTACATTGTTGGTAATAATAATCAGTACATTGTTGGTAATAATAATTAGTACATTGTTGGTAATAATAATCAGTACATTGTTGGTAATAATAATCAGTACATTGTTGGTAATAATAATTAGTACATTGTTGGTAATAATAATCAGTACATTGTTGGTAATAATAATCAGTACATTGTTGGTAATAATAATTAGTACATTGTTGGTAATAATACATTGCTGGTAATAATTAGTACATTATTGGTAATAATTATCAGTACATTGTTGGTAATAATCAGTGCAGTTCTTTAATATTAACTACTTTTGCTTGTGTTTAGATAGCCACATTTAAAATATTTAAATATTTCCAGAGATTAGGCTTACCCCTAACAAAACCATGTAAGATATAAAAAAATGCAACAGTACTTGGTCATTTCATTTCTCAGTTTAAAATTTCTAATTATCACTTGAAGGTCACTACCACTGTTATCCTGTTGGCATTTCAATTCAAATAAAAGTTTCTTTAGTAACAGGGCTGAGATATTTATTTTCAAGCAAAAGATGTAATGTAGTTGATTGTCTTTGATAATCTCAATAATTCTGTAAATGTTTGAGTTACATTTCTATGAAAACATTCATAATGGAGTTTTTTTCATTTAATTTGTTCAATTGTTTTTAAAATTTTAAAACCAGACATTGCATATAGTGGATGCAGACATCACAGATTTTACTGAAATGGAATGTTTCATAAACCCAATAAGGACATTGATGGCTTCTGTTTGATTTAAATGCCCAAAAGGTGACAGTGTTGGGCACAGTCAGGTTAAAAATGATAAAAGAAATGACATAATTTTATGCATTCTTTATATCAATGCTTTTAATTTTTAAAATTAGTAGTACAAATAAATGGGAGGGTGAGCAAATACTATAATGTAGAAACAATTCAAAGGAAATATTGTTATTCTATATTTTTTACTGTACTGTACTTGAAATGTGCAATTTTTCAGTTTCAGATTTGTACATTCATCAGTTTTAGTCATATCCTTTTCTCTTAATAAGTTTTATCTTGTACTATTCATTTATATAAATAATCTTTTTACCTTTTGGAAAAATAAACTGTAGAATTTCATCCTAAAAATTCTCCTCTTGCTTTAAAATTACATTTTAATTAACAGCAGATAGACGTATTGCTAAAAAAAATCCTATACCTAATTGACTAGCATTTCTGGTGAAGTCCAGTAGTAATATTTTACTTGATCAGATTGTCAGGCATAATTGGTGGATGAAAATAGAACTTGTTACTGCCAGTATCATTTTAACTTTAAATTTATTCTATAGGTTGATAACACACTGCAACACATTAAGGTTTTTAAAAAAACATGATGTAAATGCAAATAACTAATGAAATCTCTCCTGGCTGAAGAACACTAAACACTAGTGTTATGTGTATTTAATTAGTATTTTGTGATTGACCCTTGTCCATAACTAAGTGTAGGAGTTTGTACTAACATGACTAAGATCATTTGTTTTGTAAACATGTTTACTTGGTTTTGACTTCTACATACAGCCTTTATTCTGACCTTAGATGATTCCAGAAACAAATTTTGTTTACAGTTTGATGGGAATTTCTACTAAAGTGACACTCCTCATTCTTGTCTACTTTTGTTGTAGGTTTTTATAGTAGGGTTGTTTACTTTAGAATTATTTATTCCTATCTTAACATCACAAGTGGAATCATCTTTTTTACTTCTTTTCAGTTTTGATTGGAGAGGATTTATTTATTTAAATTATTTGTTGGACCTGCAAAAGACTAATTAATACTTTAAAATAAATTCACTATTCTGTGATTATTGTAAATTAATTTACAGACATTTTGGTTTATATCATTTTGATACACTTCAAGGCTATTGGTACAGGAGCACATTCAAGATTGGAATTCATTTTACAGCACCACTAGAATTCCTTCATTCTATACTTTTGGAATTGGGAAAGAACTTTTAGGACTATGTGAGACTTAATTCACAATACTGTGAGTTTCTTTCAAATTTTCACTCTGTATTCCAGGAAAAAAAATTATTTTTGAATTTGACAAAACATGTTGCTATCATGTTGCTATCTTGAATTTTAATTATTATGCACTGATCACACAACATTGTATCTGTTACTTGGTTGAATTGCACAGTAGTTTCCTTCCCATCGCAAACAAACAGCTGGGCACCAGCAATTATTTTTATGTATAAGGATAGTGGTTCTCAAATTATCTTTGAAAATAAAACATATAATCTAGAACCTCAAAAAAGAAAAAATTTTACCCAGTTTTATGTAGAAATGCTTGAATGGCAAAGTTAATAATCATTTTTATCAGATTTCATTATTTGGTGAACATTCAGTACAAAAGTGATTTTTTTATTTGGTTAGATCTGGTCTAATACTACACATTTCTGAGTGATTGGTTTGCTTTTTAGTTTGATCTGGTATGTTACAGCACAGTTCATAAGTGATTGGTTTGGTTTGGTTTGATCTGGTCTGTTACAGCACAGCACAGAAGTGATTGGTTTGGTTTGGTTTGATCTGGTATGTTACAGCACAGCACAGAAGTGATTGGTTTGGTTTGGTTTGATTTGGTCTTTTGCAACACAGCAATACAAGCTTGCTTATTAAGTGCTGAGACAACTGATGTAACATTCCTTGTCCAGAGATACTCTGTGGTAATCATTCAGGGTGGATCATATGGTACAAGAAATCACATTTCTACATTTCCAAACCCACAGGGTTGTAAATCTAATTGTTGTGTCCTGTTCCTGTTGGACAATCCAGCAACAAGGAAATTGTGATGTATGATTATGATTATGATTTTTAATGTAGCTTTAACAATTTTTCAGTTTCCAGTCATATTACTACGATGCCTGCAGTGTGGTAGTTTATAGTGATGTCTAGCATTGGGGCATCATGCATCATACTGCAGACATGTAGCATGATGTCCCACCCAGTCACATTATCCTGACACCTGAGGCCAACCAGTCCTAACACTAACCTCTTAATGCTAAGTGTCAAGCGAGGCAGCTGTTAGTACCAGTTTTGTAAGTCTTTGTTATGACCCAACTGGGGATCGAACCCACAACCTCCCACATCCAAGGCAGACGCTCTAACCACTAGGCCACTGGAGTAGTTAAGGGAAATTTTAAAAGCTTTTGTGGTTTTACTGCAGTCATATATAAGCTTCTGGTTCTGGAGCAGAAGAAATGAATGAATGATCTGTTGTTCTTCATCCATCCAATAATAAAAGTTTGTTGTCATTACTACTTCTCAACTAATTGGAGAATTGCCATGAAGCTTAACACACATTCATCCCAGGATTGAGTTGGTCCTAATTGAAAAAGGTTACTGTTTGGACATCAATATATCTTGTCATTTCAACTTCTGATTGGTTGGTCATATTAACATGGGGAAAGGCTTCTTACGATGTCTGGTTGGTTCTGAAAGGATATGTTATTCAATATGGCTATCTTGAAAATCTTATTATTGCTTTTCCAGAACATTAAGTAATATTGCCACAGGGTTTCCATCAGAAGATTTCTTATGATATCTAAATGATAATCTTGATGACAGCACATCCAGTATGGCCAACACAGTGACATCCAGTATGGCCACCACAGTGACATCCAGTATGGCCACCACAGCGACATCCAGTATGGCCATCACAGTGACATCCAGTATGGCCACTACAGTGACATCCATTATGGCCACCACAGCGACATCCAGTATGGCCACCACAGTGGACATGTTGAAAATCTTGTTCCATTGCCATAATACATACAACTTTTGCTAAATGATATTTTATGATGACTAGTTGCTCCTCAGACGACCAATAAGGCCACCACTAGAATTGCCATTACACACATTCATCCCATGGTGAAGATCATCCTAATTTGGGCATCAAGTTGTTATTGCAACTCCTCCTGAATGGCTGGTCACTGAATGACTTGTATGTCATCTAGTTGTTTTTAAAAGACTTGTATGACATATCTAGTTGGTTCTAAATGACTTGTATGATATCTAGTAAGCTCTAAAAGACTTGTATGATATATAATTGGTTCTAAAAGACTTGTATGAAATCTAGTTAGTTATAAAAGACTTGTATGATATCTAGTTGGTTCTAAATGACTTGTATGATATCTAGTAGGTTCTAAAAGACTTGTATGACATCTAGTTGGTTCTAAAAGACTTGTATGAAATCTAGTTCATTCTAAAAGACTTGTATGATATCTAGTTAGTTCGAAAAGACTTGTATGACACCTTGATGGTACTAAAAGACTTGTATGACATCTAGTTGGTTCTAAAAGACTTGTATGACACCTTGATGGTTCTAAAAGACTTGTATTACATCTAGTTGGTTCTAAATGGAAATGATCTGACATCCAAATCTCTGATGTGGTTACCATGGCAGCCATCTTTAAGTCTTGTTACTGTAACTTCTTTAACACAATGTCATGTCTCCTAAGCATCCTAGACTATTTATGATGTCTTATTGATGTTTAGATGGTCCTAAATAAAAATGGTGCAATCGGACATCCAGTATGTCTTAAGTTGAAAACCTTATTACTTGCTACTACAGTTAAAAGGAAGAAGTAGTCTTGTCCTGAATTCCAGGAATATTTTCTGAATAAACATAATTCTTTAGTGTCAAAGTCATTCACATGGTGCTGTATAGATTATATATTGTACACAACTAAAGCCTTCAAGTTAGATTAGTTCCTGTAACTCTTCTTCTTCTTCTTCTTCTTCTTCTTCTTCTTCTTCTTCTTCTTCTTCTTCTTCTTCTTCTTATTATTATTATTATTATTATTATTATTATTATTATTATTATTATTATTATTATTATTATTATTTGGGCCCTGAGTGGCCAAGTGGTATAAAGCGCTCTCCATTATAGATCACTGATAACTCAAGGGGTTTCTTTTTAATGCACAGAACTTAGTCATTACATTCATTATTTTATTATATTTAACTTAATTGTCATCCATATGTATGTGACACTGTCTTGGCATTTTGACCAAAATAGAAGCAAGCAGACTGGCTGCACACTGTTCTTTTCTTTTCTGATTTCTAGAATAGTCAATTTCATTAAAAACTGTCTGCATCTAATATGTGTAATATCTGATTTTACTATTCCTAAAACAAAGTGAACAAATACAAAGGAGGAACTCTTGTATACATGTGTTTGAAGAACTACAAAATTTATTGAATTATTGAGATTATCAAAGACTGAACTACATTAGATCCATTGCTTGAAAACAAAATCTTGCACAAGCAAATATGGGAACATGTTACTGAAGAATGTACATTTTGATTTGAAAATGTCCTTGCTCATATTGAGCTGGTCTGGTATAATAAACAAAAAATGTAGTACTGTGCCAGCATTAGGTAATAAAGGTAACTTGACTTAACCCATACTAAATCACAACACCAATAGCAGATAGATATTACTCCCTTATAAGTCCAATTAGTCCCAAAAATCTCCCCCCCCCAATCTATGTTGATACTGATGGACGATATGTGGATCTGATGTTCATTCTTAGTCTTAGGTCCTCCTGCATCGCTTGGCTAATTGGGCAGCAAGTGCTCTCCATTCAAGTCCATCTGTCATAATGGTTTCAGCTCCATCAAAGTCCATCTGTCGTAATGGTTTCAGCATCATCCAGTGATATGCCCAGCGCTCTTAGATCTTCAATGAAGGTGCTTCACCATGAAGTTCAGGGGTGACCTGTTCATAAAAATGTGCAATTTTGCTGCATGCTAATTTTTCCAGAACAAACCAGTGTACACTTTAGACACATACCAGAAATTGTTTAGAGCCATATCAAGTACAAAATTCAAAATGGCTACAGGACATATAGTTGTGCTATTCCAGGTGGATTTACAAGTCACCAAACATTCGGCATGCTCGGGAAATATGATGTACATGTCACCAAAAGCTGATGGTAGCTACGCAGCCATGAGAAATACTGGTAAGTGTATAAAATTTATACCAATGTGTGCAGACAAAGTTGTATGCAGATAAATGCAGGTTTTAATGAATAGGTGATATCAGCCCCTCACCTGAAAATCAACATCATTACAGGGGAATGGCTGATTTATCAGATTGTGATCCTGATCTGCTTTAGCACCTGCAGTATATGGTCTATGTTGTTTGTTCTGCTGATTACTCCTAACACACTGTACAGACCTAGATCTGCTTGCACATTATGCAGCAGCAGATCTGGGTCTGTGCAGTTTACAGCTGGACTTGCAACAGAGTATATATGGTATATTATCTTCTTAAGTTTTCAAAGAAAAAATGACCTAAAAGTATATGCAAGGATATAATTCAATAGAAGCATGGTTCTTTCTAGGCTATGCTCTAGGGCCTAAAATACTTGGTATCCAGCCTTGACACAAAAGTTTGTATTCCATGCATACAATTGGGACACACAAAAAAGACCAAATAAATTAAAGATTAAGTATTGTTTAAATTTTTCAAACTGAATAATGTAATTAAATGTATTTATTGTCAAGAATTGTAACACAATTTTGTTTGGTGATGGAATCATGTTACTGATTTTAATTAGCTAGGGCACCAGTCAAATATATCATAGATATAGGTAGTCTAGAATATCCAGAAAGATTGACACAGCTGTAACCAGACCTGTTCAGAGTACACTGTAGGTAGACTAGAATGTCCAGGAAGATTGACACAGCTGTAATCAGACCTGTTCAGAGTACACTGTAGGTAGACTAGAATGTCCAGGAAGATTGACACAGCTGTAATCAGACCTGTTCAGAGTACACTGTAGGTAGACTAGAATGTCCAGGAAGATTGACACAGCTGTAATCAGACCTGTTCAGAGTACACTGTAGGTAGACTAGAATGTCCAGGAAGATTGACACAGCTGTAATCAGACCTGTTCAGAGTACACTGTAGGTAGACTAGAATGTCCAGGAAGATTGACACAGCTGTAATCAGACCTGTTCAGAGTACACTATAGGTAGACTAGAATGTCCAGAATTATTGACATAGCTGTAATCAGACCTATTCAGAGTACACTGTAGGCAGAATAGAATGTCCAGGAAGATTGACATAACTGTAATCAGACCTGTTCAGAGTACACTATAGATAAACTATAATGTCCAGAAAGATTGACACAGCTGTAATCAGACCTGTTCATAGTATACTGTAGGTAGACTATAATGCCCAGGAAGATTGACATAGCTGTAATCAGACCTGTTCAGAGTATGCTGAAGATAGACTATAATGTCCAGGAATATCGACATAGCTGTAATCAAACCTGTTCAGAGTACACTATAGGTAGACTAGAATGTCCAGGAAAATTGACACAGCTGTAATCAGACGTGTTCAGAGTACACTGTAGGTAGACTAGAATGTCCAGAAAGATTGACACAGCTGTAATCAGACCTGTTCAGAGTACACACTGTATGTATACTAGAATGCCCAGGAAGATTGACACAGCTGTAATCAGACCTGTTCAGAGTACACTGTAGGTAGACTAGAATGTCCAGGAAGATTGACACAGCTGTAATCAGACCTGTTCAGAGTACACTGTAGGTAGACTAGAATGTCCAGGAAGATTGACACAGCTGTAATCAGACCTGTTTAGAGTACACTGTAGGTAGACTAGAATGTCCAGAATGATCAACATAGCTACAATAATACATATCTGATCATACTAGGTAGACTAGAATGCTCAAAATAACTTCAAGAGGTATTCAGATTCAGATATCCATAAAAGGGTGAGCCAATAATCACATCGATTAGGATGCAATAAAGATATTCTCCAACATGATAAAAGTTAACCAGCTTCTTTGGGACCCACTTTTTCCAATTCCGTATTTAAAAAAACAATCATGCAGCTCAAAACAGTTCATAAAAACACATATAAAAATAAGGTTAGCTTTTCTTTTATGTTAAACAATGAAGTGACAGGAAATATAAATAATATATTGCTGCTCATAATGTCCATAATACAAAATATTTTGTAGAAAAATTATTTTGATTCTTTCAAGATTTCCAAATGTTAATGGCAATCATTTGAACATTCAGTACTATATAAGACACATTGTTGAATAAACCTACTCAAGGAATTTAAAAATGCAAATAAGATTTGATAGAT